GCCGTGCTTCCCAAGCGGCGCACTATCCAGTGCGCCACCGGGCCGGCCCCAACAAGTTTCTGATTTTGGAGCATTTCAGAGTTTCGGATTAGAAATGCTCAACCTATATACCATGAAAGAGGAAAGTAGAGATTTCCAGGATGAGGCTGCGTTGCTCCTTGGGACAGTGCCACATAGGTGTCAGCTGCCTAGGAATGCAGGAAGTGCTCTTCTCTCCTGCCCGGTCAGCCTGCCCTGCCGAGCAGCCCCTCCTCCTGCCTTCTCCACGCTGCTCTGTGGACAATGCCGATGCGTTCCAGCAGTGGAAGTCTGGGCGTTAATTCGGTCCCAACGTCTAGACTCGGCTTGTCTGCACTGCCCTAGCGGTGACGTGGGGAGAGTGGAGCACTCGGTCTGTGCTCGTGTGAAAGCACGGGTCCACAAGAGACAATTGTGTGTGATACCTACACCTAAAAAGTAGTTCTTTACTCCTTTTAATTATCTGTCAAAAGTCATGTATCACATTTACTTTGCATATTTAACGTGAACAGAACTTGAAGCCTTTACACTTAGTCTGCCACATGCAGAGCAGTGGAAAGAATCTGTGGCCAGGAAGGCCTGGCAGGTGGATGTCCTGCACGCTTTCCTAACGTGAGGTCTTTGTGTTACTCTCTCACAGCGGAATTCCATGGGCTTTGGGACAGCCTTGTGTATGATGTGGAAGTCAAGTCACACGTAAGTTGCTGTGCTTTTTTTCCAAAACACCTCATTATTCGAAGAAGAATCCTCATGGAGTTTTTCTCCAGCATCTCTGAGCTCCTTGACTCCAGTGGGCTTTGGGGACCCCTGTCTGCCGGCAGCCTGTGTCCTGGATCTCTGTCCTCCAGGATTGCTCCAGAGTGGAGCTGCCTTTGGGGAGTTCCCTGAGGCGGGGGGGGAGGGGCGAATGTGAAGAGGACCTGTTGTGAATTGTTGCTCAGGGACTCGGAAGGGGAGTGAGCGGGCAGGCCCAGGGGAGGACCAGTGTGTCTTCACCTTCCTCGTGGGGTGGGGTCCTTCCCCACGATGGGGCACACTAGAAGGCCATCACTTGGTCCCTCAGGGCTGCTGCATAGAATGCTGGCTTTTACTTTTTAATAAATATGCCATGTGCTTGCCTGGCACTGTGTCATCGAGAGGAAGGAGCTTCCTTGTTACATGGTAAATCCCTCAGTGATCTTGTTTGATGTTGGTGTTTTAAATAAAAGTGATCACTTTGTTTCTTCTCTATGTTTGTACTAGTCATAGTCAATAGTTTCCTTTCATTTTTGAGACGACTTCTAAGACAAAATCCTGTGTGATGCTCGTTAGCGTTTGGAGGTGATGGTCCTTGCAGAGGTGGCCTTGTTCTTCCCATTCAGGAGCGAGCCCTGGCAGCATGTACAGGGAACCTTTGCCTCATTGGAACCTTTATCTGTTTTTTTCTCTTTTTTCAGCTCCTTGATTATGTGATGACAACCTTACTGTTTTCAGACAAGAATGTCAACAGCAATCTCATCACCTGGAACCGGGTGGTGCTGCTACACGGTAAACCACGTAAATTTTTACTGGACAAGATAAATGGCATGAAGTTAGGCTTTTTCTTATTCTCTTTTCCTTCTGCAAGGAGTCACAGCTCTGTGTTTCTGGAGGAGCCAGAGTTGCCCTGGAGCACTCCTGTGTGAAGCTGCTCCAGCTCTGAGCCCTCTGTTTGCAGCTGACTGATTAAACTTCTCTGATAACTCTGCCTCATTTCTCAGGTGATCGTAACTCCCAGGGTGGAAACTGCCTCATATTTCTACATAGTATTCTCAGAGCCTCACTTTGTGAGTTGAAAACTGTAAAAACCATGTTTTAAAGAAAACTGTTTCTTCTCAAAAGAGAATATTGGTGTTGTTTTTTTTTTCAATGTCACTGGGTTGAAAGGGGACAAAGGAATTGAGTGTAATCAAGAAAGTACCCAAGTTATATCAAGGTAGAAGCTTAAGCAGTGATTAGCCTTTTTATGCCAATTAAGATTGTCTGATTATACATGATATTAAACAGTTGTGTCTTTTAAATAGCAGATATTCCCAGAACACTGTCCTAATAGGATCAGAATAGGCGATCAGTAGACACATTAATTAGTAAAAAAAAAAAAAAGCATTGTTTTCCATTTGGAATCAGTTGTGCGTTTGCTCTTTAATTGTTGAAAACACGGCATGAAAGCAGAACTGGACCTGCCTCCATTTCCTGTTCCATGTGCTTGTTCTTCTGAGTTGGTCACCTCAGAGCTGCTGCAGGGCCCATGCTTGGACGAGAGGAGCCCTGCCCAGCCGCTCTTCTGGTTGGCACGGGGCAGGCCTGCTGAGAATTACCCGTGGTGAAAGATGGGGTGCCAGGAACAGCACACATTGGTGCCTTGAGAGTCCTAATGAGGGTGGGATCCCTTTATCTGCAGTTACCAAGAAAGGCGAGAACCAGGACAGGGGTCAGCACAAAATGCAGGAAGTAGTAGGCAGTGCTTGTGCGGGAAGGAGCCGAAGCTAACAGGAGTGCAGGAAAGAGGAAAAGACTTAACGGCATTTTTATAGCATTTAAGCTGCTAGCAGACTTCTTTGTAAGTTAGTGAGCGATACTTGTAGTAATAACATTAATAGCATATACCTCTTAGTTGATTGTCTTATATCCTGTGGATAATGCAACTACTATTGTTTTAAGAAATTTGTTTACAACTGCAGCTTATGTTTTTATTTGTTTGGATCTTGTTACAGGTCCTCCAGGAACTGGAAAAACATCCCTGTGTAAAGCATTAGCCCAGAAATTGGCCATTAGACTTTCAAGCAGGTAATTTTTGGTAATTTGAAAGAGGAGTGCAAAGGGAATGGGAATGTTTGGAAAAAGCAGCAATGTTTTATGACATTAAAAGCTGTTTTTCTTTTTACTCATTTTACATGAATAGGTTCCTCTCCTTCAATGTAAGTCAGTTAATTCCTCTCTACCCAGCATAGTCTTACATTATGGTTTCAGTCTTTTGAAGCTCATGGAGGCTTAGTTTATTGCCAGTATATGGTCTGTCCTGGTGAAAGTTCCCAGTGCACTTTAATGTGTTTTCTGTTCTTGCTGGTGGAGCATTCTACAGAGATCAGGTCAGGGTGCTTGACATCCATGCTGATTTTCTGTCCACTTGTTTGATCAGTTCCTGAGAGAGGAATGTCAAAGTCGACAGTTGAGGATTTGTCTCTTTCTCCCTGGAGGTCTATCTTTTTTTAGAGTTTGTGGTTTATATCACATTTGGAAAATATTTGTTCATTGTTTCTTCAACTGATTTCCTTGCTTCTTTCGCTTATTCTGGAATCTGTTTATCTGCATGTTAGAGTGTTTGATGTTGTTCCACAGGCCACTGATGTACTCTTCTGTTTTTTTCAGGTTTTTAAAAATATCTGTGTTTCATTTTGGACGGTTTCTGTTGCTGTATCTTCAAGGTCACTGATTTTCTGCAGTGTCTAATCTGCTTTTAATTTCGCATAGTGAATTTTTATTTCTGATAGTATGTTTTCTTCTCTGAGAGCTCCATTTGGTTCTTGTACTTTTCCTTTCTCTCCTCATCATGTTCTTGTTAAAATCTGTGAGCAGTTCTGCAATAGCTGCGTTAATGTTCTTGTCTGCTAGTGTGATCGGCATTTGTTTCTGTTGACTGGTTTTCCTTCTTGTTACGTCACATATTTCTGCTCCTTGGCATGTCAAGTACTTTCTGACTGAACACTGAACGCTGTTATTTGAAGTATCTGAACTCTGTCTTCCTTTAAAGACTGTTGGGTTTTGTTCTGGTCACAGTTACAGCTACTTGTGATTTGGTGTGGTCCTTTTGAGGTTTGTTTTAAGCATTGTTAGGGAGGGATCTAGGTTTAGTCTTAATACTAAACTGTGGTCCTTCTAGGGTCTCTACTGAGCACCCTCCCAGCCTGTGTGAGCTGCGGGAACTGTGAGGCTCATAGCTCTGCAGCCACTCTGCCTAGTCACATAGGATTTGCCCTCCTAACATGTTGAGTACCCAGCAAAGGCACCAGGGGATGCTGTGAGGATTTCTGGGGATTCTTTCTTTGTGTCTCCTTCCACTCTGGAACTCTACCCTGCCCTCCAGACACCCCAGGTCCCCGCACACTGGTCTCTATCTTGGCAGCTCTGCAGAATGACCATTGCTCCGCCTGGGTTCCCTCCCATGCTTGTGGTTGGCAGGTGCCTCCAGGCAGAAGGCAGTGCAGTGGTGGGACTCACCTCATTCCCCTCCCTCCACCGCCTGTTGTCCAGCAGCCTTACCAGATGTTGTTTCCTCTATTTTGTCTAATTTTCTCATTGTTTAAGGCAGAAGGAAATCTGTACTGTTGCTCCAGTATGACTGGAGGAATTCCTATGAGATTTACTTTTATCTGTTTTCTTTTTTTCAAGAATGTCTCTTAAGTATTTTTACATAAGGAAATTGCTTTATTTCAACCCTTTACATTATGTTTAGCAACTTGACTGTTGTTTTGACATATTGAAATGCATCTGTGATTTATTGATTGTTTTTTTTTTTTTTTTTTTTTTTTTGCAGCTGGCCAGTATGGGCATCTGTGTTTTAAAGATATCTAGGGGCAGTTTCCTAAAACACCAGAGAGTGAAGATGTTATTAAAAGAAATGTAACTTATTTCCAGTACAAAGATCTGGAAACATATTTATTTTGTAGCTTAGAAATGGCAAAAAGTAGCCTTAGTAAATAAATCTTTTTTCCTCATTCTATTAAATAGCTCAAATGTTTTATAATATTTTTCAATATTGAACCCGATCGTTATTTTGTTAGGTTGTCTGCGTGCCACCCCTTTATAAACAGTATTAGTGAAGGTGTTTTTCTCTTTTTAAATGGAATGTAAATGACAACTTTTTGAAAGTAACCCCTTTTCTTCTGTGGCCTGGACATGGAAGAAACTGTAAAGAGGACCTGGGAGTTGGCTTGTTTCCTGCCTGAGTCTTGTTTCCTGTTTGATTTTAGTCCGAGGCTGGGTGCATCCAGGTCCGTCAGCTGCTTCCTGCGTAGGCCGAGTAGTGTCAGTTCTAGATTTCGTTCTGTCTTTCTGGGTCAAGGTTGACTGTTGGCCGTCTGAGCATTCCAGGGTCTGTGCCGGGAACAAATTAACACACGCTATAGAGTTTTACGGAAGGAGGAAGAAATGTTCAGCTCCTGTTTGTATTTTGTTTTGTTTGCTGTACTAGTACTGCCAATACTCTTTAAGCATAGAAATGTAAATTACAAGTAGTTAAAAATGAGAGGGTTTTTACTCTTTAACTCAAATGAGGCTATTGAAAAAAATTTGCCGTAATCCAGAACCATTGATTGCACACAGAGGTCTAGGTACCTCAGCACTTTATCAGCGACTGTAATGATATCATGACTCGGTGACTGCTGGCCTGCTGGGCAGTTGAGAGACGTTGTATGAAGTAAAAGTGGCTGCCCCCGAGAATGCTACAAGACTTCTTTGTAAAGTAATTTTCTTAACTCCTTTTATCATCTTAGGTACCGCTATGGCCAACTAATTGAAATTAACAGCCACAGCCTTTTTTCTAAGTGGTTTTCAGAAGTAAGTATTGAATATTAACTTTAATTGTCTGGACTGTCAACCATGTAGTTGAAAAAATGTCCCATACATTAGGCAAATTCTCCTCCAACAGCTTCAGGAGGTAATAGGTGCCATGGGAAAATAGGAACAATGGTCCAACTTTGTGGTCAGAGCAGGTTCCAGAGCCAGGTGGTGACTTGGAAACTGCTGATCCTGAGAGGTCCCTCTCTTGCTCATACCCCCAGCCTTTGTCTAGGTGGGACATGACATTCAGCAGATGCCTAGAAGGGGACAGGTCTGGCATTCTCTGCCGAGCTTGCCCTGGGTCCTCATGCACTCGGGCACTGTCTGTGAACTGTGGGTCGGACCAGGTCACGCCATGGGCACCCCTCCCCTCTGTCCCTCTGGTGGAAGGTGAGGCAGGATGGGGAGCACGTGTGAATAGTGCACCAAGCCTGTCTGCAGGTTTGCATCTGTGGTCTGCCTCGGTCCTGGTCAGTGAGCTGGAAAAGGAAGGTAAGAGGTGGACAGGTAGGCAGGTGTAGGTGCACGTGGCTGTGTAGTGCTCCTGGCCAAGAGCAGATGTGGGCTCACGCCTCAGTGTCCTGGCATGCAGAGCAGAGTGGAGGAGCACTTAGCTGAGCAAATCCTGTGCCGACCTGGCCTCTGGTTCAGGGAGCTTTCCAAGGGGCAGCTAGGAGACCATGGGCTTCTGCAGCCAACTGGGGTGGCAGGCCATGGCGGGGCATTGACACTGAGAGTTTTGGTTTCAGAGTGGCAAGCTGGTGACTAAGATGTTCCAGAAGATTCAGGATTTGATCAATGATAAAGACGCCCTGGTGTTTGTGCTGATTGATGAGGTAGGCATTTCTAAATATTGACCCTGTGACTAAAGGAAATCCAAGACTGAACTGCCTCTTGCTGTTGCCAGGATGCAGCCTTCTCCTGGGGCAGTCTGGCCTTCCCCTCACTGTTGGGCCCCTGTCTGGCACTCCCTGTGTAGTACAGTCCTTTTTCACAGGAATTGAGTCCTACACCCATCCATCTGTCCTTCCATCACTTGCTCATATGTCCCTGGAGCTGCCTGTGGAGTGCCAGATGCTGTCCTTTTTGACCCATTGCTCCGTCCCCACAGGTGGAGAGTCTCACAGCTGCCCGCAGTGCCTGCAGGGCGGGTGCTGAGCCGTCCGATGCCATCCGTGTGGTCAATGCCGTCTTGACCCAAATCGATCAGATTAAAAGGTAACACCCTGACGTGCGGCGGCTTCCCACGGGACGAAGAGGTCACTTCAAAGAGATGCATGGTGATTGCACAGCTGAGGTCTCAGTCCAGCTCTCTTAACTAAAAGTGCAGTTGGTAGTGTTAGGCCAGATGTCATGTCTCCACAGTCCAGCCTTGCAGGTCCTTATACCCAAGGTTGGTCAGGCTTTACGGAGTGGTGCCTACTAATCCAGCTCATGAGGAAGAAATGTGTCATCTGTCATGCTTCACAACTGCCTATGCTGGTCAGGACTTCACATCTCTTCTCTAGAGCACCCTTTCTCCTTCAGGGTGCCTGGGATTCAGTGCATTGCTTAGCAGCTTGTTTGCTGAGCGTGGAATGACAGCAAACTAAATTCTGCTGCAGAATATCTTATCCAGGCCTCCACTGTTGTGTTACAGTAGAGAGCATCTCTAATTTCCTGGAGACACAGTTGTCCGTTGGGGTCAGCTGCAGGAGGGGGTACAAGCCAGGAAGGGAGAGAGCCTCGTGGCCTCCTGCTTTGTCTCTCCTGCTGCAGGGACCTTGTGCTGGGTGGAGACACCCTCCCTATCTCCACCTCCCCTCCACTCGTGCCTTCCCTGCCCCAGCTCCCCTTCTTCACGGGTGCTTGGCTCTCATCTGGAACCTCCCGCAGCATCTGGCCACCCCTGCGTCTCTCCATGCTGCTCCAGTGTCTGCTGCCCACATCTCCCCACCATCTCAGGGCGGGGCTCTGCACAGCCTGTCGTGGTCTCCTCCTCCCCGTGTGCATGCTCCTGGTGTGTACCTCTTTCTCCAGCACCACACTGAGTTCTGTGTGGGCGAGTCCCCAACACAGACCTGCACAACCTGTGACCAGCCATCACCACTGAGATGCCACAGATGTCAGACATGCATCCAGGCTGCTCACGTGGCCCTGAACCCTAACCTTGCGAGGTTCTCATTAGACTCATGGCCTCACCATGCACCTGCTGCTCAAGCCAGAACACAGGGTCACTTTGACTTCCCTCCCGTTGGTCACGAGGGGGTGTGGGCTCTGGAAGGAACAAGGAGGCAGCCCTGCCTCAGGTTTTCCTCTCACCTGTTTCCCCCCATTGCATCTTGCTCCTAGCTCAGGCTCCTCTCTAGATGGTTCTGCCTCTGTGGGGGTTTGCCTGATGCTCTGCTGGCCTGCATGACAGATTCTGCCCCTGGGTTGTGGTTCCCAGCCCTGTGCGTCCCATGTACCTCCATCCAGTCCCATACTCTGGGTGCTGGGCTAAGCAGCCTGTGCACTTACCTTACCCCCTCCACCCTATTCCCTTTGCCCAGGACACCTGGGACCTGAATGCTCCCGCCCCTGCATTCACTTGGCTCACCCTGCCCACCTTTGCCCTCCAAGCTGCTCCCTGGCTACAGAGCTGACTGGTGCACCCCAAGCCAGGAAGGCAGCATTGCTGCGCACTCTGCACCCAGGCTCAGCAGGCTGGGAAGTATGCTCCCAGGAGCCTCCATGGCTGCTGTGTGCTGGCTCCTGCTGGGCCCTTGGGGGATATTGGTAAACAGACCAGACAATGATGCCTCTTTCTGCGTAGTTTAGAAGCTAGAGGGGAAAGCAGACGGTAAAAGTGATAAATAATTCAACTCCATAGTGTGTGCAGGAGAGCTGTGTGATTAAAAGTTGCATGGCCCTGTCCAGGCATGGGGTAGCAGAGGGCGCCAGGAGTTATGGTAGAAAGGGCAGTTGGGGACATTGCCCAAAAGTTAGATCTTCATCAAGGGGAAATGGTGAGGGAATGAATCAGGTGGGGTCTAGAAAAGCTTTTCCGAAGGCAGAGGAGCAGCCAGAGCAAGGACCCTAGGGAGGGTCTGTTTGGCACAGTCGAGTTGTACCCAGGAGTGCCCAGTGAGCATGGGAGGATGGGCAGAAGTTTGAAGGTCGCCAGGCCTGTGTCGGCACAAGGTGCTGGTGCTGAGCACAGCTAACTGAACGGTGCTGGCCGAGCCTCTGCTTGCAGTTGACAGCCTCCCGCTGGCCGTCCTCAAGATCCCCTCGACAGGTTGGGGGGTGGGGGGACATGGTAGAGTCACCGAGGCACACAGTGACTGTGGACCTTGCTTCTTGGCCACCACAGGCATTCCAATGTGGTGATTCTGACCACATCCAACATCACAGAGAAGATTGACGTGGCCTTCGTGGACAGGGCTGATATCAAGCAGTACATCGGGCCACCCTCGGCAGCTGCCATCTTCAGGATCTACCTCTCCTGCTTGGAAGAGCTGATGAAGGTGCCTTTGTTGTTTTTCTACTGGTCAGCAGATTTCTTACATGTTCTTCATTAGGTGACATAGTTTAAAACAAGCTCATTCCAGTACAGAGAAAGGTGTTTCTGCCCAGGCACTAGCTGTCTTCTTAACTCGAAAATCACTGTTTTGTTGAACCTGACAGGTTGAGTTGCTAGTCAGTAAAGCCACTAACTCAATATTTTTGTTCTTTTGGCGCAATATGAGCATCACTTTTTGTTACTTGAGGTACCACTGTGTAGGAGGTTAGCGAATGGGCCATGGTCAGCCTGCTGGGTGAATCCTGGGTCTTGAGTTACCATGGCCTTTGCACAGGACCTGCCTCTCTGGGCCTGTTTCCTTACCTGAAAGAGGATGAACAGTGGACTCAGCTCATGGGGAAGTTATTCCAACTGAAGGTCACAGCTCATGGGGTCATAAAGAGGTTACGTGGACTGAAGGCCACAGCTCACTGGGGTTTACACAAACTGTAGGTCATAGTTCATGGGGAGGTTACACTGAAGGTTACAGCTCACAGAGCGGTTATACGGACTGAAGGCTGCTCTCATGGGGTCACAGGGAGGTTATGCTGACTGAAGGCTGTGCTCATGGGGTCATGGTTAGGTTACTGATGGCCTCCGCTCATGGGGTCATGGGGAGGTTACGCTGACTGAAGGCCGTGCTCACGGGGGGCATGGGGAGGTTACGCTGACTGAAGGCCACACTCACGGGGGGTCATGGGGAGATTACATTGACTGAAGGCCATGCTCATGGGGGTAATGGGGAGGTTACACTTACTGAAACCACACTCATGTGGGACATGGGGAGGTTACGCTGACTGAAGGCCATGCTCATGGGGTCATGGGGAGGTTATGCTGACTGAAGACCATGCTCATGGGGGTCATGGGGAGGTTACGCTGACTGAAGACCATGCTCATGGGGGTCATGGGGAGGTTACGCTGACTGAAGGCCGTGCTCACTGGGCTGTCATCTGAGTGAAGTGTTCCTGTCTCTGATTGCGTGTGCCTAACGATCTTGACAAGAACTGCAGCAGGAAGTGCTGACAGGGAATCTAGGGAGAATTGCTGTGGCACTCTGGGGACTGGGTTCTGGAGACAGACAAATGCCCGTGCCTACAAGGAGCTCATTTGGAGCCTGAGTTTAGGGGACATTGTCAGTAAGTAGGCAGGCCAGTGGTGGGGACTGGAACAGTAGTTGTCATGGCGTTGTTGCCACTGGCTGGGAGGGTGGATTGTGCCACACCCGCAGCCACTTCCTGATGCCAAGCAGGGGCCTCAGTGTCCTTGGCAAGGACAACACAGCCTCTTCTGGATGGGGAAAGGGAGCTGTCTCAGGTGTGAACCCACTGAAGGTGCCTGGGTCAGCAGTGTTGTCGGGGTAGGGCTCAGACCCTTCAAACCTGTTGTGCAGACTGGGTCACAGACCTCTTACATGCAGGTTGTGAGCTAGGTAATTGGGAAGGATCTTGGCAGCCACCAGCAAGGTTACTGATGTGAGCTCAGTCTTCAGCTTCCTCAGCAGCATCAGCTTACGGCAGCAGCAGCGGAGGTGTTGGGCTCCCAGAGAATCCTGGGGGCCCTGGCAGCAACAGCTTGGAGCCATAGCCTCCAGTAGCAGTAGTGGCCTCCCCCATGTCCCGTCGTCGTCCCCCCCCACCCCCCGTAGCAGGGGGCACTGTGGATCAGAGCCATTCATCCTTTATACTTAAGTCTCATGACCCAGGAACACCTGGGCGGAGTCAGATAACCAAAGAACACCTGGGCGCACATGGATATTTACATCAAATGCTCAGCAAGGTTCTGAACATTTGAGGGACCGTGAATATTTACTATCATTTTCCCTGCAACTGTCCTGGCATGCGTGTCCCATCCTGGCTTTCTGTGGGGTGGGAGAGAGGGAAAGGGGCCCCATGGAGCTCTGAACTGAGAATGCAGGTCAACTGAGGGAAGATTCTGAATGCAGCTCTGCTGCCAGGGTTGAGGGCAGGTCCTGGAGGAAGCTGTTTATGTTGGTCATTAAGGGCCTTCAAGGTGGCCTCCAGCCTTCACAGTGTAACATTTGTGCATTTGTTCTGTGAATCCAGGGGATGTTCCAAGTTCTAGCTAAGAAGTGTGGACTTTTTCTGGGCTTGAGAGTGTAGGGGAAGGCAGTTTCTTACTTTAGGCAGTGTGTGTGAAATGGAGACGTTCAGAATCTCTAGTGGCTATCTGGCAGGTCCTGCAGGCTGTCCGTGTATAATTGGGCCCACGCCATCAAGAGCTTGAGGTCTGTGCCTGTTCTCACACATGCCTGCTGGCGGCAAGCTTCACAAGAAGGCAGAACAGGACCGTTCCTGGGGAAGCTGCAGGGAGGCAGGGTCCTCAGGGAACCCGAGGGGCATCGCTTAGTGAGTCAAGTGGGAAGGTCAGAACACCCTGAGCACAAGTCCTGCTTCTTAATTTTGCCCTCGGCCCTCACCAATCTCCCAGATGTGCAGAGTCCCGTTTTCTTCTTTGTCCTCTCTCCTGGTTCATGAATTGGAGCTGCTTACACGAGACTTCAGTTGTAGTGACTGTCAGTGTGCCAGCTTGATGCTCAGTCAGGTTGCTTGGCAAAGAGCGTCTGGCTTCCAGACCAGTGGGGGTGTGAGGTGGACTTATGGGACCCTGTTGTCTGGCCAATCAGATGCTGTCATTCTGCTAAAAAGTCTCGTCTTAAAAACAAGGGAACTAGGACCTTCTTTAAAAGGCAGCTAATGTCCTGGCTCCAAGTCCCAGCTCTGCCCATCTGTGGGTTTTAACATATCTTTGAAGTGGAGATGAGAGGCTGCACTTGGTGGCCCTAAGTCCCGTGCAGCCGTGACATGTGGCAAGGAAACATTTTGGCCAAAAACACAGAAGAGGATGGGTTGCTCTTGGTTTCTGAGACGTGTTTGGTTATTTCTCATCTGTGTGTGAACAAGCAGGGATGCGTGTGCTGGGGAGGGGGTGTGAGAGTTGAAGGGGGGAGGCAGCCTGTACTTGTTTCCTGGTGCAGCTGTGTGCTAGTCATTGCTGTCTGGCTTCGACATGGCCGGAGTGCAGCTGACATTGCCTTGTGAGTGCTGTACTGTGTGGACTCGGTCGTGACGCTCTGCCTGTCTCCCCAGTGTCAGATCATATACCCTCGCCAGCAGCTGCTGACCCTCCGGGAGCTGGAGATGATCGGCTTCCTTGAGAACAACGTGTCAAAATTGAGCCTCCTTTTGAGTGAAATTTCAAGGTGCGAACTGAACTCATTTTTTAACCAAGAAAAATCCATCTACTATGTTAACTGGGAAGTTGTAGTTTTCTCTGAGGAGGCCAGGTCTGGATGTAAGCTGTTAAGATGCCGCACAGGCTGACATACGTGTTTACACATGTGCATGTCTGTGTGCAAGTGAGCTGAGACATGCAGCACAGCAACCTTCTCCCAAAGGACAGGGAACCCATGAGCAGTGCAAATGACTGACGTTCATGCCACAGGCCTATGGCAGACAGCGCTTCCAAGTGTCCCAAAGTCAAGAGGGGGAAATGGCCGTGGTGGTCAAGGGAGGCGGAGAGAGGAGGTAGGAAGATGAGGCAGAGCTTTGAAGGACAATTGACATTGGGGTACATTTGGAGAGAACTGGGGGGGGGGGGCGCTGGAGCAGCGTTAGGGATCTCCCAGTGGATGCAGCACAGAGACCAGGGAGTTGGTGCTGGAGAGGTGGGAGGCCCGAGCAGTGAGAGCCTCAGGTTTCTGGCCAGAGTTTGGACTTTTATTCTGAAGGCATGAAGAGCTTGGAAGGTTTTGAACGAGGGATAACATGAAGAATGCAGTATTTCTTTCAAAGATTTGGAGTATATGGTGAAGAAATTTAAATTGGTTAACATGGAGACAATAAATAGTTCAGAGACTTCTGCAAAAATAGAAGACGTGAATTAGCTGACTGTGTGCCCACTGCCTCACTCCATGCCTCATGCCCACCGAGTCACACCCCATCTCACCCCCAGGCAGGCACCACAGTTCCTGAACTCAAGGATGGTGGCCATAGAGCTGGGCACCATGGTAGCCTCAGGTGGTACTTAAGTACAGCAAGGACTGTGCCCCACCTGGAGCAGCAGCAAGGGTCTGGAAGACCAGCCCCACCGGAGGGCTGGGCTAGCAGTGCTGTGAGGCTGGGGTCGTGCTGGGGTCGTTCAGAGGCTTGCGCTTCCAGTGCACCCAGGCCAGCCTTCAAGCTCAGGTTTCATGATATCCGGGGGAATTCATCCTGAAATGGGCAAGTTGTCTGTATGCAATTGACACCCCTGAATTTGGTCATTTTTCTGCAGGAAGAGTGAAGGCCTCAGCGGCCGGGTCCTGAGGAAGCTCCCTTTCCTGGCTCATGCGCTGTACATCCAGGTGCGTCTCCTTAGGGCCATCCTCCACCTCCTGGCGCCCCGTTCCCACCCCACACACTGTTCATAATCTCAGCCTTGCTGGGAACTCCCCTTGATACTGTCAGGGTGTCTCCCTATTTTATCTCAGTAGGAGGAGCTAACCTGGACACCTGTAGAGGAGGGGCTGTCCTGAGTCCTTTGGGACGAGGGGGCTGTGCCATGTGTCTGCGCACAGGCTCATGCGTACACACACAGGCACACGTGTACATGCACAGATGCACATGTACACAGGCACAGATGCACACATACGCACATGTGTGCCCCCCCCCCCCCCTTCCCCCCAACTTCACTCCCCAGGAGTCAATCTGGGATCCTTTGTGCTCACACGTTCTTTCAAGAAACAATCTCAACATTTTAAAACAGCTGGGTGGGGAGGTGGGAGTTCAGTCTCTAGAGTCAATACACATCTGAAAGTGAATGACACACTGACATCTGAGGTGAGGAAACAGATCTTGAAACAGTTCCTTCTGGATCAGAGTTGACCGATGCTCTATCCAGTCAGTAGTAGCTGTGCTGGGCAGGTGGTCAGCACTGAGATAACAGTGACGGTGAGTGGAAGCCCTGGGGTGCAGGGAGGCGAGAGCTCAGGGCTCCGGGCTGCAGTCATTCTCTGTTTACAAACCAGCAATGTCCTTGGGGTGGGCCCTTCCTCGGGAAGAACTCCAGGTTGGCTGACCCAGAGGTCAGGTCTGCTCCTGGCTGCATCTCCTCCTTCTCAGTGAGTTGGCACCCCTGGTGCCACCCGCCTGCCCCGCCAGCTGTTCTAACCTGCAGAAGCAGAGCACACTAGCACACCTTGTTTGCCTTTTCTGAAATAAAGAGTTGGTTGCATTTACGAGCCCTGCCCTGAGCTGAGCCTGGTCCTGGGCTCGTGCAGTTTCACTCAGCCAGTGATACTGAGGCCCCTTCTGCACTGTCTGTGTGTGGGTGGGGTGGTTGCTGCCAGGTGGCCCCACCAAGGGGGAGGGACCCCCAGCAATGACTATATATCCTTCCAGGCCCCCACTGTCACCATCGAGGGGTTCCTGCAGGCCTTGTCTCTGGCAGTGGACAAGCAGTTTGAAGAGAGGAAGAAACTTTCGGCTTACATCTGATCCTGGGCTTCCCCACTGGCCACTTTCTAATGAGGAGCGGCCTGACTGGTGCTGCCCAGTGATCCGCACAGCATCGCTGAGGTCTGCAAGCTCAAACCCATGCAGCAGGGCTTTGTGAAAAGAAGTGTGTAATATTTACATTACTTTAAACTGCATATTAGAAGACAAACAGCCTGTTGTTTTTGCTGTTTTTAAATGATAATTCAAATTCTGTTTGTCTCTTTGTGAACAACTGCCTGGGTATGTTTTTTCCAGTCGATCAGACACAATGCTAAATTTTGTTTTTTTTAAAAAGGAAGGTTAATATAGGAATTATAGAAACAACAGAGAAACCGTATTACTCTGAATAACATGTCATCACAGCATTAAAAGCACACAGATTCCTCAAGCTGGAGGTGGTGATGGCTTTCTGATGCGAGCTTGTTTATTTAGTCTGGGAATGTTCTGGAGGCTGTTTAAAGGATGAGAAAAACCTATTCCTATGTTACAGAAATTGAGAAGGAATTCTAGGTGAAGTTTTCTTCGGTGATAATCAGGCAGGTCCTTTCTGCAGGGACAGGGCAAACCCTCATGTTGGAGTGAACCGTGGCGGGCGGCACGGCCACGCTGGGTGCTTCTTGCTCCTGCAGCTCGTGGTGTGTGTTCAGTAACTGCTCACGTCTCGAGTGAAGATCCACATCTACAGAATGTGGAATAAGTGGGTTAGTCATTGGTGTGTTCCACAGGGTATTACATTTGCTTTTATCTCATGCTGAGATAAATTTCCTGTTAGTGTTCTGTGCGTGAAGTCCACCCTGTGTTACCTTTTGTTGTAGAACTCTTTGAATATTAAATTTTCCTTCAGAATTTTTTCTTGTTTTGATTCTCATTGATTCTCAGTATCTCTCCCAATTGCTTTGAGTTTTACTAAAGATCACTCACATGATTGCTTAACTTCAAGACCGTCTTATACTTTGGGGCCTTACATAAGTGCATCAGCAGAAGAAACTACACCCATTTTATAGGAACCACACCATCTGCTGGGCCTTAACTCCAGATCCAGAACTTGCCTATTGATTCTCAGTATCTCTCCCAATTGCTTTGAGTTTTACTAAAGATCACTCACATGATTGCTTAACTTCAAGACCGTCTTATACTTTGGGGGCCTTACATAAGTGCATCAGCAGAAGAAACTCCACCCATTTTATAGGAACCACACCATCTGCTGGGCCTTAACTCCAGATCCAGAACTTGCCT